TCTTCCTTCTAGGCCAATATAGTGAATTTTAAAGCTTTATTGATAGTAAATTTAGTGATTGAAAGTTTAGTAATTTAAGTCATTCTAACTATTTTTCGTTTTGAATGGATTGTTGTCACTTTTTTCACATTTTAAATGAGTTGTTTCTTTTATTTTTGTGTATGGTTAATAACCGAATAACCAAACCAAACCAAACCGAAACCGATAATCACCAAACCGATAAATGTATATTATATTTGGTTTGGTTTGATTTTGATAATTTTAAAACCGATTAAGTTGGTTTGGTTTTGATTTTGACCAATAACTGATCCAAACCAACCCGTGAACACCCCTACGGTCCTACATTAACGTGTTACATTAAAAACTTAATTTGGCCTGTAGTGGCAGACTCAACCCCCACCACCAACAATTTAACAAATGCTACAAAAACCACGTTATTATACGTGTCTTCATTTTTTTCATGCTTATTCATTTTCCTCAAACCTTGCCACCTCAATCACCCTATACATTCCATCCTAATTATTTGCATCATCATGATTTTTATTATTTTTCATTTTATTGGCTACTAATTTGAATTCACGTCAAATATACTCATTATAGAGTAAAATGTTCAAAATTCAGACTCGAAACATATAAACAAACTCCAACAATTGTACGTATTATATCATCGCGATCAAAAAACAAAACTGAACTTTGAAATCGACTCTCTATGTATATGCATATGTTTATATGTATGAAAAGGAAAAAAAAACGAGCGAGCAAGAGAAAGAGAGAGACCTGAATAATCTTGAGTAATTTTCGAATGTTCAACAAGGCTTGCACTATTGCTAGTATTTCTATGAGTTGAATATGTCCTTATTTTTTGGAAGATGATAGAGTGAGGGAGAAAAGAGGAAAGAAAAAAGAGAAATAATGGAACCAAACAAGAGAAAAGAAAAGAAGAATGGCTATTTATATGGTTATTTCCTCCCTATATTTTTATTTGTTTATTTTGAACTTTACACGTCTTTTAAGAAATAATAATTAATATGAATATTTTATCACAATATTTATATTAATTGATGAATAGTTTTAGATGTTAAAGAAATTATTTGAGAAATATGTTATGTAATTAATGTTAGGACAAAATAGGAAAAATAATTATTATGTTTTAGATATATTAAAAATAGATATTTTTGAGATAATGAACTAGTTAAAATAAACCGATGGAATAGAATAATACATATGGCTATTTATTTAAACTCAAAGTGTCACTAGGAAAAAAAAATCCCTCTACTTGAACTATTTAGGAAAATTAATTATTTTAAGAGAATATATATGTTATATAATTCACTAGATCAATTGATTTGGTAAGAAATTTTAAATCTGTCACTAAGTGAAAGAAAACAAATGAATGTTAGAATAAGGTAAGATATTATTATTATTATTATTATTATTATTATTATTATTTTAAAAAAGTTAAGATATTACCACAAATGTTTCTAGAAGATCAGATTATTTATATGTAATTAACCATGACAAGAGAGAATTTCGAAATGCATTAAAGTTTTTTTATATATTGAAACGCAATAATAAAATTATCTCTACATGATCTATAGATTATATGAATTAGAGTAATGAAATCAGTTAATTTGCGTCATAATAGTCGGCATATATTACACTTTTTAAAATGCAACTCTTCAAACTAGATCCTGCGTGAATACGGAATGCTATTGAATTAAGATAAGTATAAAAAGAAAAGTTTTTTAATGGCTGGCAAATGTTAGAAAAAGAAGCAAGCTGCATGTTTTTGCCAGTCAATTTCAAGAGCACGTGCAGTACTTACTAGGCTATTGAATTATTCAAAAAAAAAAAAACTCAAGAGGCTAAAAATTTAAGTTCACATTATGTCTGTGGACAGTAACAGATTAAATTAAATAATGTGATTGCCTTTAATTACCATTTCATTAACAATATTTTAACTGATTAGAAATGTAAATTAGAGCAACTTAATGTTTGATTAACATTCTATTATCTGTTTTTTTATCAAGCCTTATGTGAGTTTTTGAAAAGACCTCACACCATTATCGATACCATTAATAGTATCGTTATAGCTTTTTCTTGTTAGTTATTACTTATTAATATGAAATTTTATTTGAACATCCCAAATATAATTATGGCAAGTATGAATTAGTACGTTATTTTCCATGGTCAAGCCTTCAACTAAAAGTATATATACATGTGATTTTCCAGAAGGAAAGTCCCCAAAAATTGGGATAAAATTAAAAGACATCTTTTTGTTCACAATGTTCCCTAGACTTCAATTATTTAAATAAAAAGAATTGATATAGCTTAGGAATTCAATTTTCTTTTTTGCATATGATATTTTTTTCTTTTTAACAATAAGTGGTGCAATATGAAATATTATTAATTAACCCATGAAAGTATGAATCGCCAAATCCATTCAAGTTTAGGCAGAACGTTTATTAACTCGATTCAATTTGATCCGCATTACTCAGTTCACCTGAAAGTTAGTTGATATGTGATTAAATATCTTTAATAATAATTTTTTATATGTATTATATATAAATATAATAAAAGTTAATTAATATAAAATATAAACTTGTAATTTCATGTGCATGTATCTTTATGCAACAAGTATGGGGAGATATATATTAAAATAAAGTGATTTATAGAGCATGTAATTAAATGGATAGGCTCGTGAGTTTTTTTAATTGTTTCTATTTTATTTTTTTCTCATCAATTGCATGTAGACTATAGTTTTAATTAATTAATCATGTGACTGCAACCATATATATATTACCTTTTGACTTTCCAGTTGTATTGAGTGTTGCTCAAAGTTGTATTTATTAGTAATCAAATTATGGGAATTCATGTATTAAATTGTGTGTACTCGTGTATGTCAAAAACGGTCTATTTATCTTCATAGTAATAAAATTTACTTAGTGCGTATATTTTTTTCCCATATCCCACTTATGAAATTTTAGTGAGTATATTACATAGGAATTTTTTTATAAAATAGCAAATTATTAATTCAAATTAAATGTTATAACCTCAGTTTGATTTAATTGTAACCCGTAGCAAACAGTTGCCATTCGTCTCTCTCCCTGAATTTCTCGCTCGCTAGTCTCTCACTCGCCTCTCTCACTTTATACAAACACAAATGTATAAAATGTGTTTGTGTTTGTATAAAGCCAGAGAAAACTATATATACAAATATAAATACATATATTTTCATCCTATACAATTATAATTATACAAATACAGATCCTCTGTCAAGTTTTCTTTTGTCTTTCTCTCTTTCTCGCTTTATACAAATATAGATTATATAATTACAATGTAGAATTTATGTTGTATAAAGCGGAGAAAGAGAGAGATTTTGATATACAAATGTTTTACTTCGATTCAATTGTATACAAATTCAAATTTTATGCAGATATACAAAGACATAAAATTGAATTGAGAGGCTGTCATCGATTTATACAAATGAGAGGTTGCCAGCGATTTATACAAATGAGAGTCTACCAGCGATTTATACAAAACTGATGCTCCCATAGCAAACATAAAGTTTGCTATGGAGCACAATTATACAAACTATAGTTATAGCATACAAATATGTTTTTTATGTTTGCTAAACCTAAAATTTGTTCTATAATATATAGTAGGGAAAATTATATATAATAGCAAACTATTAATTCAAATTAAATGTCATAATCACAGTTTGATTTAATTGTACACTGTAGCAAACTGTTGTTGTTTCTCCTCTCTCCCTGGTGAATCTCGCTCGCCACTCTCGGCAGTCTCTCCCCCGCCTCTCTCGCTTTTATACAAACACAAATGTATAAAATGCGTTTGTGTTTGTATAAAGCGAGAGAAAATTGTATATAAACATATATTTTCGTTCCCCTCTCTCCCCTCTCCCAGATCTCGCTCGCCTCTCTCACTTTATACAATACAAATGTATACATTGCGTTTGTGTTTATATAAAGCGAGAGAAAATTATATATACAAATACATATATTTTCGTCCTATACACTTATGATTATACAAATAGAGATCTCCCCCTACCTAGATGCTTCTTTTGTATATATGTATAGAGAAATTGCTTCTTTTGTATATATGTATAGAGAAATTGCTTCTTTTGTATATATGTATAGAGAAATTGCTTCTTTTGTATATATGTATAGAGAAATTGCTTCTTTTGTATATATGTATAGAGAAATTGCTTCTTTTGTATATATGTATAGAGAAATTGCTTCTTTTGTATATATGTATAGAGAAATTGCTTCTTTTGTATATATGTATAGCGAAATATACATATGATTATGCAAACTATAGGTATAGCATACAAATATGATTTTTGTATTTGCTATATATGAAAATTGCTCTATATAGTATTACTAAAGAAACGGGCCTTACTCTTTAAGTTTTGTCCATTTCTTTATTTCTCGAGTTTTTTTCTAAACAATATTTATTTTTTGAAAAGTCTATTTTTTTTGAATAATTCTTTGAAAATATCTTATATAAAGTGTAATTAGGAAACTATAACACTATGTAGAGGTAAAATCATAAAATTGCACTTTTTTTTCTTTAAATAGATTGGTTTATATTTTTTGTTATTTAACAATCAAACTTATGTTTAATGGGGCATAAGTTCTTTAGAAACAAAAGTCACATTTGGGAATAACTTATGAAATATTATGATATAAATATATATTTAACGAAAAAGTTATTTGTTACGATGAAATAGGGTCAAAAGTGCAAATGACCCCTATATGTTGCTTAGCCCAAAGTTCTATTGGGTCCAATTAACTCTATCAATTAGGCCCATTTTCAAAATTTTATTAAAACTATTGTTTCTTTTAGAAGAAAGAAAAAACAATAAAAGTTTATACTTTCATCTGTTTTAATTTGCTTGTTTGATCTTGATTTGGAAAAAAGTTTAGTAAAATAATGTTAAACAATATATATATATATATAAAAAAATAAAAAATCTTGATATAATAAAAATTGACATGTAAAAATAATAATTCATTTTTCAGATACTGAACACATAAAAGTAAACGAAGAGCGTATTATTTATTCTTCTTTTCCCCTTTTAGGTGGTATAAAGTAATTGGTTACACATGTTGAAACCATAAAATATTAAAGTTGAGCCATCAATAGTGGCTCTCCAATTTTCTCCATTAATTCTACTAAAATACTAACATCTTTTTTTTTTTCCTTTTTTTTGTCTGCATTTGATTTCTACCGTTGCTTTTGGTCTATACTATTCTAATTATATATTTTTTTTATGTATTAATGCACCTAACAAAAAAAGCAAAAGCAAAGTACCTTAAATGAATAATATTATTCATCTAACCACCCCATTGAATTAATAATAAAACAATAAATACTAATAATAGTAGTAGTAATTAACGGTGTTATTAACTTATTTCCTTCACACAATCACCAAAGATTTAATACCTTTTTAATTAGTTTAAAGTTAATCAAAAAATCCTTCTTAAAGCAAATTAATAAATAAGAAAATAGTTGAGTTGACACGTCTATTTGTGCTATTGCTATTTTCATGGGTGTGGAGAGTAGATTCCAACTTGTTCTTCTTTTGGAACATGAAAGAATTATATCGGAGAATAATAATAAAATATATCGATAAAAGTCTTTCACACAATAAAATATCAAATAGTATAAAGTCTAGACCGTTAATTATTATGCCTTGATTGATAATCTAATACTAAAAATGCCCCAAACATTATTTTGGAGCAAACTAAATTTGATTTGTTACCGAAAAATGTTTTTCTTCTATAAATACTAATTAGGGATTGTTTGTTAGAGTATTCTAGTATATGTACTATATTTCTATATAAAATATAGACATGTAAGTTTGAAAGATTTAATTAGGATTCAT